AGTTATTTTAAAGGGGAAACAAGGCAAGAGAAGAACTGCCATAATGAGAGCCGTAATGCTGAAAATGGTGTACCATATTTTTTTCTCTTCAAACTTTCTTTGATACTCTTCCTCGTAGATTTCTTGGAAAATATCCTTAAATCTTCCATCATATTTCTTCAAGATGGTGTTTTTGGTGCTAAAAAAAAGTTGTCTAGTTTCTTGATCAATGGTGGAGAAAACACTCATAATTTCAAAAAAGACAGAAAATTAATGTCAAGTTTAATAAACGTTGGCTGAGAGGAAAAAATTATAATAAGAAATTAACTGTCTTTGAACAATAATCCTTTATTAAACAAAGATACTGCTCATATCTAGCAATTTTTATCAATTGTCATAAATTCTCACATCATACGAAACCCCCTGAAAGTAACTTGCTAGAAGTAAGAAATAATAAAAGTGATTAGATACTTTCAAACTTTCATAACCTCAAATACAGAGGATATCCTCTTTGAAGAGCGTACTCCATAGAAGCATGTGCAAAATCACGGATACTTTGATCAGTGTTGTACATCGACAAAGCGATACCGGGACCAGTAAAATGATAAACCTCCTAAACCAAACCAATTTACTGAAATGTTCTGTAAAGGCTCAGAAGAGTCATAATACCAAAGAGAAGTAATAAAAAATAAATTATTGTGAGGTATACATGACTTATCGGTTCACCAACGCCATCAGGAACAAATTTAATTTCCAATTTACCAGCTCCCGGTAGAACAAAATCGGTGGCCTTATACTAAAAATAACAGTTCTGTTCTTCTATCATATTTATGGTTGAACAGGTAGTCGAAGAAAAAAAGGAGATTGCTTTTGAAATCTAGGATGGCAAAAGTAACATGAAAAGCAATAGCCAAATAACGCACCTGGTCCGCATGAGCATGCCTACCAATGATAATTGGTTTAGTCCATGTATTAACAAGGCGAGGAATATTTTTGCAAATGATCGGTTCACGAAAAACTGTACCACCCAAAATATTTCTGATTGTTCCGTTCGGGGATTTCCACATTTTTTTGAGGTGGAACTCTTAAAAAAGTAAATAAATATACATTCACAGGAAACCTTTGATAAATCTGATAGAATCTACCAGTATGTAAGTCGCTTATAATCTGCTGTAAAAAAAAA